CTCTTTCACACACACACTCAGTGTGTGTCTGTGTGTGTTTTGTGTATCGTGTTTGTGTGTGTGGGTGTGTGTGTGTGTTTGTGTGTGTGGGTGTGTGTGTGTGTGTGTTTGTGCGTGTGTCTACCCCAGTCTCTCTGCCTCTGCCTGCCTATCTGTGTGTCTTTTTTCTTTGAAACACATGTATAGACAAATGCAGAATAAATGCAAACACAAATAGAAACACACAAATACATACACACATACACACAAACGCATACACACACACACACACACACACACACACACACACACACACACACACACACACACACACAACACATACACTCACAGACGTATACATAAATACACCTGTACGGATGGCATTCTTTGTCAAGTGATCACATGGCATCTCAATAAAATAAATGAAAACTACGAGCAAAAGAGACAAATTTTGAATACTTTGAACACGTGTGTGCACCATAAAATAGGTCAAACGTGCCCACTCATTGCTACTATGATGTCCTCAAATACCTCGCTGAGAAATAGTGCTGAGATGGTCATGAAAACAAATACATTATCGACACCGCTTTCAGTTTTTCTGGGGAGGTAAACTGTTTCCGTCTCGTCTTGATTTTGCTACTGATCTTTTAAGAAGACATTGCCAGTTGGATGATGCGGGGTGGGGGGTGTTTTATCCGTTCTCACTCTTTGTTGCTTTAGGTTATTCAAGTTGAGTAACGATTTTTCCTCAGGCACATAATTCAGTGTCACTGGGAGATCAAGATGTCCTCTTTTCAAAGCATTCCCATTACATTTATCTTCTGAACACCGCACAAGCAACCACATCAACCCGTAAAAAGACTTTATGTGGTTCAGCTTCTTAACAAACGTGAATATTGCTATGCTCCACGAACGATTTCCGGGTATTGTCTGTTCCTACAAACCTTTTTAAAAAAGATTATTACAGGTATCGCCTAGCCTTAACCCAACAAAATATTGCAGTTATCGTTGACCGTACACTATACTACACTTCTACACAACTCACTTCTCCAAAGTAATCTAGCAAGTGAGTTTGCTTTTATTATATTGAAGTCGCACAGCACGACAGACGTGTAGTGTGGTCTGGTCTAGTTCAGTGATACATCTCATTAATCGTAGATCATCAGTGACTTATAATTCAATGCTCAAATCGAAATTCGAAAGCAATGACCTATGCCTTAATGTCTCAACCCAGTCTTCATATTGATTGTTAATCGAAGACTTCCACCTCAGTTTCATTCAATTCTTTCTTATTCTAACTTGGTTAATATTGCCGAATGCAATTAATCCTAAATGCCAATTTTACAATGTATCCTTTTGGATGATTCTAGGAAGGTGCACTTTACTAACTGAAACACTAATGATGATTCACACGAATTTCTATTGCATCTTTATTACAAATATTTTCTCTACACGCCTCAATTTCCTCCTCCCCTCATTCGTTCTTTCCTTCCTTCCTTTCTTCCTTCCTTCCTTCCTTCTTTCCTTCCTTCTTTCCTTACTGCCTGCCTACCTGCTTGCCTACCTGTTAACTTATCTACCTATCTATCGATCTGTCTTTCTACCTATCTTCAGGGAAATCTAAGAGGGGAAGTTTCTCCACATCTCTATTTTCTGTTCTTTGTAGTATTTTTCAAACCGTGTGTTTGCTTAGCTTGTTTTCTAACCTTAAAGAGCTTCTTGGCTAGTCTCAACTGTCATTTTTATCCACCATTAGCTTGGATTTTCCTTGTCTAAATAACGGATTAAACATGTAAGTGCTGGTGCCTATACTATATCTGTTCACATTCTTCCCAGGACTCATCCACTAGAAAGTGGCATATCGTGCTGTAAGCTGTACCGAAAAAAAATTTGCTCCACCAAATGATTCTCTAATTTACATTTCTAAAAAGAACCAACTCATCTTTTCCTCCAAGTAGCCATTCACGTACAAATGAATTTAAACAATAAAATTCCTAAGCACACAAATGGAAAGAGAAAACGAAAGAGAGATAGAGATAGAGAGAGAGAGAAAGAGAGAGAGAGACAGAGAGAGAGAGACACAGAGAGAGACAGAGAGAGAGAGAGAGATATATATATATATAGAGAGAGAGAGACAGAGAGAGAGAGAGAGAGAAGAGAGAGAGAGAAAATTGAGTTGGGGGGGGGGGTGAAGAAAACATACATAATATTATTATGCTTAACCGTACGTACAAGCCATAAATGTTGTATCCATTCATTACAGGCTGGAGATAAAAAGAAAAAAAATGAGGAATGAAAGAAATGAATATGCTTCTCTCTCTCTTGCTCTCTCTTTGTCTTTCTCTCTGTCTCTGTATCTGCCTCTCTCTCTCTCTCTCTCTCTCTCTCTCTCTCTCTCTCTCTCTCTCTCTCTCTCTCTCTCTCTCTCTCTCTCCCTCTCATAGTTGTCTCCTTTTTCTTCTATTCTCTATCCCTATATCTTTCTATATTTGCATTTATACGTGTATGAACATGTATGTATGAGTGTTGTTTGTATGTGTGTTTGAGTGTGTGTGTGTGTGTGTGTGTGTGTGTGTGTGTGTGTGTGTGTGTGTGTGTATGTGTATGTGTGTGTGTGTGTGTGTGTGTTAGTATATGTGTGCATACTATGGAAATAAAAGGCCAGATAGAAACGGACCAAGAGGCATACAGAAAATAGACTGATATGTAGACTGGTAGACAAAAGGACAGGAAGGATTATAATATACATATGGACATGCACCTCTTTGCCCCACCACATTCAATTGTCAATAGCACATAATATGTTATGCAAACATCGCAGTCATTCGAGAAGGTTCTATCAATCTCTCATAGAAAATATTACAGGCAAGAAGACATGATCTGACCACGATCACAGCTTGATATCACGCTCATTTTATATGTACACATCTTAGTCATTTGAAACGACGCTCATCCCCCCCCTGCTTCAAACACAGGGAACATGCCTGAAAGAATGTAATCACACACGCATGTTATTTATTATTATCTAGTGCACCAGTATACTGATCAAGCACTTCTCGTTACATGTAAGAAATGAGCATTAGAAAGCGCGTAATATTTTACAGGTGGGTTTCTACGACATTTAGTTGACATACTTGCCCCTTTGCAAAAGAAAGCAAGTAGCTTGATTTAAGTAGGTAACGGCCGCCGAGGTTGTTGAAGGAACAGAAGTACAAATAGTGTACAAACTATTCACTATCAGTCAAGGAACTGCTCATATCAGTTACAGAAAGTAAAAGAAAACATAAATGAGCAGTAAACATCCTTTATACAAATATTACAATTGACATTTTGAATTGGAAACAGACAATTGATAGCAACATTCACTGAGCAGTATCATTCATTATAAACAAGGTGAATACGTTTTGAGTTCACTGAACACATCTGTGAAGAATCCTGGGTCTCTGTTGAGCCTGAGCATATTGGAGCTGTGTTTGTTGACAACGACGAGACACCTGTCCCAGAAGTTATCCTTGTTCTGCTCCACAAGGAAAGGCTTGAGAGGGTAGCTGATTTCGTTGCCCATGTAGGAGTAGGACAAATAGAGACAGGTGAGAACGTAAGCCATCAAATCTAACTCACGAACCATCTCATTGCTGGGAAGGTCCCTCACGAGCAAGAAAATGAACACCACGTTAGCTGGGTTGATGAACGCAATGTCTTGCCAGCCCTGGAGCAGCAAGGACCGGTCTACACTTCGTAGCCAGAAGATGGCGTCCGACGCTTCAAATCGTTTGAGCCTTTTACATTTACGCTTGAGAAACTCACCTAAACATTTGAGTAGTTCAGACGTTGAAGCCTGAATTATCGTCCTCCGCGGACTAGGGGGCTTCTCGAGCTTCTTTATAGACGTCGTCCTCACGGGAACAGGGGCATCTTCCGGTACAGACTTCAGGTTGTAACACGAAACAGACTTTTGGAAGTTATTGTTCAAGTTAAAATTCTCAATATTGTAATTGTTATCAAACTTTGTGCCATGAAGGAACGCTGAGTTTGACAACTTCATCAGGTTTTTGTCCTTCTTTTTGGGGTTCACTGTGAATTTCTTCCACGAAAGGGCACTCAGGAAAATGGAATGGCGCTTAAAACTCTTCTCTTTCCCGTTCCCATTGTTGTTGTTATGATTATTATTGTTGTTACTATTGTTTTTGTTGTTACCAAGCACCTCATAGCCGTAGTTGTTGATGTTGACATCTTCACTCAAAGGCCTGCGGGACGGCGGTGACAGGGATAAAACGGTCCCCATCTTCGGCGAAAAAACAAGATGGCGACCACAACAAGTGAGGAAATTATCGGAATGACACAGGTCCAGCGGGCACAGCCGAGGGAATGGACGCCTGATGATTCACCGTGGGCAACAGGCGGCTAGCTACTGGGACGCAACACCTCTTGCTCTGGAATCATTGTCTGACAGTACTAAACCGTCCACGAAAGTCACAACAATATACCAACAATGGCGACTTCGATATGGAAATGTCGTATTTATGAACAAACCGTCTGAACGTTGAAGAACCTGAGCTGAAATGCTTCCACCTCCTGATTTACGCAGACTGATTGTGTGTACAGGCTTGTTGGCGCATTCGATCAGCCAGACGAGGCGCGGGTCTTGTCGTCGAAGGGGGAGATGGATCGATAATTAGCATAATGCATGGCGGGTGAGATCATCTCCATGGTGACTGCTCCAGGCAGCGCTTGGTCCAATCACTTGGCTAGAACGCCGAGTTATTGATCTGCCGGACAGGAGGAATCCTTTTGCGTGACGCACGCACTGTGGAAAGGATGCGTACGGACTGTTCAAAGCGAAAGCGTGCCTTGATTTATTTTCAGCATCGCCTCGATGGTCGATTGTTGCTTGGCGGGCGGGTTCTGGAAAAAGAGAAGTAGGTTCCTGAAACTCTCTAGGCACCACGGATCGATTTGCCTCACCACGACACGGCTATAGTTGGATAGAATCAAACAGAGAAAGGGGGAGGAAAACACAACGCTTGACACTCGTGGGGTGCGGCTAAGACGGGTGTTGAGTCACAGAATGAGTGTGTGAGTAAATGTACACGTATGAGAGTATGTGTGTAACTGTGTATGTGTGTATGAGTGTGCGTATGAGTGTGTGTATGTGTTTATGTGTTTATGCATGTGCGTGTATGTGTGTTCGTATGTGTGTACATGTGTCTTATATATATATACTATATATATATATATATATATATATATATATATATATATATATATATATATATATATATATATATATATATATATATATATATATATCATATGTATATATATGTGGGGGGGGGGGGTATTACAAATTACGTACGTTATACTAGCGATCAAAAAGAAAAGTGCCACTTTTGATTGTGTAAAATATCTAGTCCTTTGAGTCTCTATGCTTTAGTATGAGGTTTACGACACTTGCGACAAAAATAGGTAATAAAAGTACCGACCATTAGAAGTGATAGAAGAGAGTAAAAAACACACACACACACAAAAAGAAAGGACAGATAATGACAATAAATGTTGACAGGAGAGAAGAAGCAAACCACACACTTTCCCCTCCACTTGAGTAATACTAAGTGATTTTTAAAAAAGTATGTCATACTGTGAAAACTAGAGTTTTGGTGCTTAAATTAGTGTTCACAGCAGCCACGTCAAAAAGTTGAAATTTTGCATTCTTCGATTCTTTGTTTTTTAATGAAGTTTAGGTCTTTGTTGATCAAAAACCTCAATATTATATTATCATTGTCACCAAAAAACCACCCAAAAAAACAGGTTTACCTCAACATCAGTGACATAGAGCCACCGGCATGCTCCGAAGGCTTCTGCTGTTGCCAGGACATTAATGTCAACAGAAAAAAAACTGACGTTGAATGTACAGGCGATCAATTATGTAGTATATACTTAAGTATTTATTCGTTTATTTGTTTATTTGTTTATTTGTTGATTTGCTTATTTATTTAATTTGTTGATCTGTTTGTTTGGTTTGTTTAAATTTACTTATTATTTTTTATGTACAAGTACTGTGGCGTAGACCCCGGGTTTTGAGAAGAATAGGACTGACATGATGTTAGCTTATCGTAAGAGGCAATCTAATGACAACACAGACAGTGCCTCCTTAAACAGAGACACCTGGTTCTCCAGGTTGGGCGTCAGCAACCACCGGTCTTTAGGCCAGTTCCTGTCTAATGAGGATTTCCATCCTCCCTAATCCCCATCTATTGATCTATTACTAGCTCCCTGCTGGCCTTCAGTACATCAACTTTGAGCTAAGGGCTTAGATCACCATGTTGTTTTCGTCCACCACTTCAGTTGGGACTAATTGACTGCGGACTTTCTTTCACTACGTCTTTAGACAAAGAATAACAACAAACAGAAATAAATTCACTTTACTGTCGGGAAACTTGTTTTACGTGTACAGCGGCGTACAAAAGACGCATAATATATATTAGTGCATGTATGCATGAATAATTAACAATGTCATAAACACTGACAATTCACATTATACCGTTCCTAAGGAACACACCCAAGTGACCAGCCACCTAAACGCCGTGTCACCGACGGGCACTCAACATTGTGAGCCTGTGCTAGGCTCACTGACCAGTTTTGAGTGAACCTTCATGGAAGAGAGGACGCTTACGTTTTTAAAAGCAGAATTCAAAAGCGGTGGCTTAAGTCTGGAGTATGTCATAACACTGCATTGCGATCGAAACTTTCAACTTTAAAAATTCTTCAGCTCAAAATCTCACATCTACGAACTGGACAGTGTTTAATTGGCACTCAAGAAATTACAGACTGTATAATGATAAAAATAATAAATAGAATTTGTATAGTGCATGTCCCCGTTCGACAATAGGCCCGTCTTTATTACAACTAATTTATAAAATAATTTCCCTTCCTATCTGTTCGTCGTTCCGGTCCACTTTTCTCAACCATTCTCGGTGTTTCTTTCTTCGTTCTTCTTTCTGTTTTAGTCTTCATCTCAATCTCCATTCGGGGAATCGATAGTAAGTGAGCCCATTTGCGCTATAATTTGTTGACACTCCCAGATTTTATAGCACCTTTACGCCAACTTTAAAAGCAATTTTCATTGCCCTTACCCAAGCCTTCTATTTCTTTTTAAATTTCAAATCTTGTTGAAAGAAAGACAGAGACTGAAACAGAGAGAGAGACAGAGAGAGAGAGAAAGAAAGAGAAAGAAAAGACAGACCGACAGAAATATAGAAAGACAAAGATATATAAACAAAAACAGACAAGCCAAGCTACTACAGGCAGTCCATAGACAGTCAAAGATGTAGGTTCGTGTAAAAGAGAGAGAGGGAGAGGGAGAGAGAAAGAGAGAGAGAGAGAGAGAGAGAGAGAGAGAGAGAGAGGGAGAGAGAGGAGAGAGAGAGAGGGGGGGGGAGATAGAGATAGGGGGAAAGGGTTGGAAAGGGGAAGGGGTTTTTTATAGAAGAAAATAGAAATAGGATAAAGAGAGACACAGAGAGATTTACACGGAGAGCGAGCGAGGCAGAGAGAGAGAGAGAGAGAGAGAGAGAGAGAGAGAGAGAGAGAGAGAGAGAGCGAGAAAGGGAGAGTGAGGAGGGTGAGGGAGCTTGAGGATAACTGTTAAAGTATTATCGACTCAAAGAAAAAGGAATAGCGAGTCTGAGATGTTTGCAATTATATTGAACTTAAACATTAGCTGTCAATACATAGCGTTCATTCAGCACAGAGTGTTGACGTCATTCATAAATACATGGTGTCTTATAAAAATGTAACAAATGGCCAATTAAAGAGTAAAAGATCATAATATCATCATTGACGTTTTGTTGTGGTCCACTTATACACTGTGCAATCCATTTTTGAAGGTTTGGTTACAAGCATAAGATTAAAGTTAAAACAACGGACATCATAAACCATAAGTAGGCTACTTTTTTAATGTGACAGCTGTGGGTACGGTTGTAAACTGAAGGTTAAGCTCTACTCTAAGAAACTATGAAGATGAATAGAAACAAAGATAGAAATGTCATGAAAATTGCAGAGATATACAAAGTAGAGATATGAAACAAACATTCCTTTAGTTCTTGCAAACTGGGTAATCTAGAGTTAACGCATACCTTAAGCACAGAGCATTTTTTCCTGTAATGTTCTCTTTTTTTTCAGAACCATCGCCTCTTTCTGGCCCCTTTCAGTATAGTCTTCTAGAATTCATGATGCACTCAAATCGCACCATCGGTAAAATCCTGATTTCAGCAATGTGAAATTCAAGGATAAAAATAAATAACATTTAAAATAAAAACACGATTTTGTTTTGAAGTGAGTAAAGAGCATGATTAAAAACCTAGTTTTGTTCACACCTCTTTTATCAGTCAGGAGTACTAGTTGGTAATATTATGAGTCATGTAGCTGTATAAAGCATATAAAAAAAGAAAGAAAAACTGTGAACAGAGATCTAGAAGAAAATTAAAGCTTTATTGTCTCGTCCCAATCATTGACATTAAAAGTTTAAAGCCAGGATGACCGCTTTAATCAATCATGATAACTTACAAACTTATAGCAAAATGCAATACTTTGGCAACTTAAATCGACTCGACACCATTGGAAAAAAGTGTTTGAAGGAAGGATGCTGGGCAGGAGCGCCAGGAGAAGACAAAGAGTAACACTGATAGACAACATAAAAAGCATGGACTGGCATGGATATAGCAACCCATGATCACAGATGACACCTCCAGCGAGAGCCAGCGAGCTAACTTAATAGTTGTCGAGTACTGTGGCAATCATCTTGTCACGATACCACCAATACACCCCTAACCACCAGGCCAAGAATAACTGGCCCTTTCAGTGTGGACGATGTTAGATAATATAATGTTTTATAAAGTAAGTTAAAAACACCTTAAAAGATGGCCTTACGTATGGTACCAGGAAGAAACATTTCAACAGTGTACTGGTATTTTAATTGTCTGTCATAAAGATAAACAGCTGACATGAGGGGAAAAATGATCATTGTGAACTGACGTCCCATTTTCATTCTCCAAAAACTCTTTAGCTTGGTTTTTGTAAGAGTTTTAGGTCATATAAGTGCTGAAGATTAGAAGTGCTACTACAAAGTTACATACAAATCAAAGAAGGAGGAGAGATAAGTGCGGTAAATGTTTGATAGGAAAAAAAGGTCTAACCACAATAGAATGCCTGCCAATAGCTCACAAAAGATCCAAAATGTTCTTTATTGAGGCAATTCTTAAAATGATGATATTATAATCATGCCACGGAATTCGAATACAAGTTTGTTTCATTAAAGCAAAAAAGATTCAACTTCATTGTTCGTTTGCTTGCTACGTTTTTTGTCTGGCCCAAAGTATAAACTCAAGGTGTAATCATAATCTTCACCATCATAAAGTGCCAGATCTGAACGTGTCAACGACGATCATGGTTTCCATTCAGCTTGCCGCTTGGATGCTCTCATAAATCCCACATTATCATGGTTTTTTTCCCCGCCACCCATCAATAATAAAAAGCTTCTCACTAAATAAAATGTAACCTGTCACCACTCGTTATAATTCGGATGGTTGGTGGGCGCCACCGGTAGATTTGTTTTCCTTACCTTCATCGGTTTTGTTTCTGTATATTATCTGTCTTGCACTTTCCC